AATGATGACCTCTGTTAGAAAAACGTTAAAAAGGCTTGTCTGATCAGCGCAAAACCGATCGATTTGTAGCGAAATTTGCCGTGAAAATAACCACAAAATCGGCCGTTTTTTACCGATTGCTTTTCGGTGAAGTTTGCCCCGAAAGCTCCCTCGAAATCGGCCGATTTTTCCGGGAATTTGTCCCTAAAAATCCCGCGAAATTTGACTTTTTCTTCCGAGACCTATCAGAAGCCCTGCTAAGACGACAAACCCCTTTGCATCAGCAGAAGGGTGTACAAATTTCTGTCCCCCTAAAAATGAAAATGTCCCCCAAAATTTTAGCCAAGGGGACAAATTGTCCCCCAGTGATCAAATCCTAGCTCAAACCCTGCCCTGTAACCCTTTGTTACCTTTTGTTAGCCCCTGTAATCCCTTGCAAACCTTTGCAATCCCCTGTGACCCCTTGTCAGTGCTTTTAACCCCCTTTAACCCCTTGTTACCTCTTAGAAGTCACTGTAATCCCCTGTAAACTCTTTTATCAGATGTCCATTTAATAATTAATTTTTCTTGTTATTACTTTGACAGATAAGCATGTCTTTTGGAGCAAATGATAAAGACTTTACTTTACTTAGTAGTAATAAGAATATGGTCTAATATAATTATGATGTTAACACTTTCAAAGTTGAGCTAAAAGTGGGTAATGTGATAGTCAAGGTTAAAGACAAAAAAAGATGTCCAGTGGTCCCTATCTCTTATCTTATGTCGAGTAGCCCTTTTCTTGACATCTATTCTTATTGCTTATAGGTGGCAGTCGTTTGGCTGTTTTGCTCCCAGCAGCCTTCCCTTCCTCTGGATGTGTACAAAACTCTCCTCCGAGGTTCTAAGTGTGACAGTGTCTGTTGGCTGCTGCTTACAGGGTTTTCATGGTTACTGTCCGTGCTCCCTTGTGGCTCCCGCAGTTTTCCCCACACTCATCTATTGGCCATGGGTTTAACACCATGACAGCCTCTGAGACTGAATGGTTTTGACTGCATTTTAAGTGAAGGCTGATCGTGACTAATAAGTGCTTTCTCAGTCACTTGTTCTAATCTTTGACTGACAGTCTCAGAAGAGTGTGAACTTGACACCCTGCTTCTGTAGGCACTAATCAGTCATAGATTGCACTCATCTTGGGGGCATTCTACCAAGTTGCCCACCGCGACTTTGACCAAGATTCTGAGTCTTCCCTGGTGGTGGTTTCTTTGCCTGGGACTGTTTACTCTTTACTTTGTCTGTTTTACCCTTAAAAAGTCTGTTGACATCCAATGCATTGAATGGAAGACTTGTAGCTGGCTGATTAACTTCTGCTGGGCTTGCTTTCTGTTTGCTTTGTTGATCCATGTTAGCTGTGTCAATTGCTAATCTTGTTGGTGCATAAAGATTAAACCATTGCTGGTGAGAAAAAGAATGATTATTTCAACAGTTAAGATGACCTACCGTAAATTCCTTCCTGTAAGCTGCAATTGCAGCACATTTAGGCACAGGGGAGGGGTATAGATCCCATTGACAATTTTGTTTTTATATTTTCAGGATAGCGAGGGAGCTGTTTATAACATTGCCATTTCTTATTAGACAAAAACCTGACCTTCAAGATATGACAGCTTTACAGTCTTAGAAACTGGCCATCATGTTTGCAATCCCATGAAAATTAACTATTGCGCATTATGCTCCCCTTTAATTGCTCTCCACTTCCTAGCCACTACCCTTCCTTTTCACCCTCATTAATTTCACTCCTATGCTAAGTTATGGTGAAATTACTTGTCTCTCTTACTATTAAATCTGTTGAAAAATCCTACAGGTTTTAAAAACCATTCAGGAAAAACCTATTTGACCAAATTTTGCTTAATAGTTTTTAGAGTTTTTAATTTTTAAGGGAGATTTTTACCTTGGCCACTGTATTATTTTGAGTGAAAGCATTTAGCATGGGAACTGCAAAACTAACCTTTGTTTCTGGACTGAGTCCTGTTGAGGTAAAAAGGTATTGCCAGACAGGAAGACCAAGGTGCACTATCATCATTCTAAAGTAATCTGTGAAGCAAGATGCAAGATACGACCACTCCAGGGAACGATCCAGAAACCAAATTTCTGGCTGACTGGTAGTTACTCCTAAGGCAAACAAGATATTATAATAATAATTAAGTATCTATAATGTAAATCCTCTATTAAAGCCCCCCCTCCCTCCAGGGTGCAAGGAAAAGCAGTTTTACAGCCTGCCATTCGGGCAAGCTGTAGCTAGCTTGTACTAAAAAGAGAATTCACTAGCCCGATAGCAAAATCCACTAGCCTTGGGCTATCGGACATGACTTTCTTTCAAACTCTTCAACATATTGAATGCCATGAATGATGAATTATTTTAAAGCCCTCTGCATATTGTAAAGTCTAACCTGATTACATGTTAGCAGAATTTCACCTACCAGCTTTCACATCTTTGTAAACCAAGCAGACTTTACCATGTCCATCACATGGATCAAGTTCAAAAACCTTACAGCGGTTGTCAAAGTGTGGCTTTACATGACCTGCAGTGATTAATGTAAAGGAAATTATTTGATTTAAAACAATTATTATTGTCTCAGGAAAAAATCCCGGGAGGGTTACTCAAAGAATTTATCAATGAATAATAATATGAATACATTAAGTGAACTCAATTATTAAATTTCTAAGATCTAATATTCATAAAGCTAGTTTATGATACTTAAAAATTAATCTATTAAAAAAGCTATCTTTAGGGAGGGGAAATTAATAACCTCTTCATGTAATAAGACAGTACAAAAAATAATAGGGATAAGACAATTGATCTCAGTAGTTGAAAGAAAGTTACCATGTTCATCATCGTCATCTTCCTCGGAGTCTAAATCAGCCAAAGATGGTTTATCATCACAAACAGCTGTTGCTCGTGATAGCAACACTAAACCTGCTACAGGATTAAGTTCCATCTTCCCAAGTGGTAAGACACTCCCTGAAAACAAAGGACAATAGAGCAATTTTTTATGACCTTGAAATGAAAATGCACGAACAAAACAGAAACAACAAACGAATGCAAATAGAGTGATTTGATTGGTTTATCAAACAGATACAAATGTGCGTGGCTTAATTTTGGTTGGTTAAGTGAACGCTCGACTGAAAAAACTTCATGCCTGAGAACTTTCTTGAAATCAATCGATACTTTGCTTTGACATCATACTGCAACACGATTGGCCAATTAAACAATGCCTTCTCCATATTAGGGTTTTCTTTGCCAGGAAAACAAAGAGTCCATGTTTTGATCTTTTTATCCATTAGCTGATAAAACAAATAACAAACACTTACTGAAACCATTTTTCAAGGTGATATGAAAATCGCTCTATAAGAATTATTAATCAATGACCATCTTCTGCAATTCTATGTACAGAAAAGTTTCAATTTCAAAATGGTTTAGCAGTGTTTTTATTGTCACCATCAAACTTGATGCTCCACTGTATCAAAAGGCCATTTGTTGTCAGGAAAAAGCTTTTCAAGTCATCTGGAAGGATACACATGTTCTTCTGTCAAACACAATAAACAAATGAAATAACATCATTATTAGAGCAATTAATTAGTTTTTCTACTTCTATTTTGGTGTAATATGTGTAAAAAACTGATACTCTTAACAGATGCCTTTTTTGGTTAGATTTTTTCTAGTTAATCATTAATTATTTATTAGCTAATTGCTATGTTGCAATGCGGCAAAATATTAGTAGCGGCCTTAGTAGCGACCTCGTTCCCAGGGTCCTCTCCTTCTTGGCCCCCATGGCGAGAGAGACGCCACTGGGGCCAAGTAGGAGAGGACAATGGGAACAAGGTTGCATAAGTAGGTGAGGATCTAAAAGCTAGAAAGTTCTTTTCGTTCTATATTTTTCTTTTGTTTTCTGTGGAAGTAAAACCCAGGGGAAATTCCTGGCTCCTGGACTCTCAGCTCTCTCTCTCTCTCTCAGCCCTGTCAGTTGATAGAACTAAATATTTGTTTTTCTCTCCCCCAACAATACAACACCACTCTATAGAAATTTAACCCTTTATTCATTGGCTCATTGATTTACTTATTGATGTCGTTGATTAGAAATAAAGTTAACGGTTTGCTGATCACTGCAGGTGAGCAACTGACCCAGCAATGATAGTAACGAAAATCCTCAACCATCTACTGATTATCAAATACCGTAAAATGTCTGACCTGCTCCCATGTGAAGATGATGTGTTTTTCTGCAGGCTGCCTATCCAGTAGACGCACATCTGTCACACCAGGCTTCTTTTCTACAACAAAATTTACTTTCACTAAAAAACGCTGCCTAAAACTCTTTATCACTTGCTATTTTCTGCCCGCTACTTTGTGTTTCCAAATCTCTCGATGTTGCAGATGACTCGACGGTTGTTGCTTTTGTGTTTGCTGTCAAAACGAGTATTACCATTCTTGTTCTGATTATTATACATTTAAACATATTAGTTTCAAACTTACCAAGAGATCGAACGACTCCTAAAGTCATATTATCGAACAATTCCCTTACTCGACTTTGCTCACTCAAGGACGCCATTTTGAATCCATGGGCGACAGCCTTCAATGTGGACAATCCCTCCGTTGTAGAGTGGGGTGGAAACGCAAATTATGTGTACATTTGAATTGTTCTCTATTTTTTTAAAAGATTTTTAATGAAAAAGCTTTGAAAAATTTCATTAACAATATGTCATCTTTAACCTTAGTGATGCAAACAAAGCCATGATAATATTTGCGAGTTTTTGATTTTTCCCTACCCCTCCCCTACACAGCCCCTGCACCCAAGGAAAAAAACGAGCACGGAACCTGGGAGCGAAACATACTCGAACAAAATGGCGGCAAATTCGGCTGTGGAGGTTATCGAACCAAACATGCAAGACGAAATACTCGAAACAACAAGTCCCATAGCTTCAGGGAGATTAACTTTAAGTGACACAAATGTAGCCGAACAAGCCGAAATTACAAATGAAATTGTGGATGAGGTGGAAGATGCAGAAATAGACTCGCTTTTGGAACTCAAGAAGTGCAAAGAATGGCTTCTTCAACAGAAGATAAACCAACAGTCAGAGTTGCTTGTTCGTAAGTTCTAGGAGCCCATTGATCGATAAACTTAAATAAGGAAGCAGATGCTTGAAACCCGATTCGTTCTAGTTTAGAATTTCCAGAAAAGTGCTTGTTTGTTGACTTTTATCAGCGGAAATTTTTACCCTACTGTTGACAAACACACATTTTATGTTTTCGTTTCAAAAGGTCAAAATGAGCAAGGAATTCTGTTTTCCTTCATTGGAAGTAGGCACAGAGGCTATTGCCATAAGTACCGTGGCTTTAGGCGTCCGTGCGGGCTCCTTGTTTAAAATCTTAGTTGCCCGTGAGCAAATCATAGGAGCCTCTAGCAACCAGGCGCCTGTTAGGCAGCAGCCCAGTTACAGTGATGCATCGGTATGGTTTGGAACCAGGACCTTGAGGAAAAACAGCTGAACAGTGCAAAAAAATCAGCAAGCAAATCCCCTACTCAGTTCACTTTTTTATTACCACTTGCCTTGTTATTCACTCTGTTTCCCACTGAGGCGCCTGGTCTCAGGTTAAACTTCCTACATTTTAAGGGCCAACCAAACTGCCCATCACTTAAACAAACTGGTGGCAATTTCTTATTAAGCATACATTAGCAGAACCATGTTGTCCAATCAAACTGCCTCAAACACTCTGCATTGCACAGTACACTAGTGGGTGTGTCTTTTTTTTATGTGACTTGGTGAACTTCCTGTATGTAAATCCCAAACACATGTTATAAGCTGAAAGGAATCTTACAGGCTTCAGGTTAACATGTCATATTATGTGATTTGTAGGGCGCCTTCAACAGCGAGAGGACCTGCAGCCATCTTCTAATGAATCTACTCAATCAGATCTTTATGAAAGGTTAGTATATATGTTGTAGTTAATTTTTTATCTCAGGTAATTTTTATTTGTCTTTTGTTTAAACTTCATTAGCATACATTATCATACCCAAAAACAAAAGACAAATAAAAATTACCTGACATAAAAAATTAACTACAACATATACATTATTCAATAAAGGTTGCTTTGGCAATTTGTCATTGGGCATTTGGGCATACAAAACGATGTCATGATTTCTTTGACTGACCACCAAACAATAAAACAATGCAATGATTTGCTTGAGTGACCACCAAACAACAGATTCCTGGTGCACAATTACCAATGCTCATAGCAACCTTTATTGAAGAGGCTGACTATTATCCATTTTATATGTCCTGCCATTGTGGGCCTCCTTTGTGGATTCACAGTGTACCTTATTGAGATCATGTGCTGCATTATAGGGGATGTCAACCAATGTGCTAGCCCAAATCTCAGTCAACATGTTGGTTCCTATATCGGTCAAGTATTAGTTGAGTCTTGGATGAGTCTCGGTTGAGTGTCACCGGTAGTTAGTCACCACAGTCTATCGGTTGACAGTCAGTTTTTTAATAGTCAGTCGTTACTTTGTCAACAGATCACCGACAAGTCACCGACACTTGGTCAATGTCATACTTCAGGCAGCTATTACAGCTCCTGAAGTCTGTATGAGGATCTATAGGCAAAACTGTCTGTTCCAAGGTCAATCATCATTTGCACTCAGGAAATTATTCTTGTATTCACTTGTCCTTGAGGAAAGAATACATGTATTACTAGTAATAACCAATGGTTACAGAGTGCAGGCGACAACAATCTACATGTAAGGTCAAATGCTTTTGCTCCAATCAGTGAGTGCTCTGTGTAGGTGTCTTGTGACAGATGGCAAAACGCATGTGATCAGATTACAAGTGGTAGAAGGTCGAAATGCACGTGATCAAACTGCATTCTCTGCATTCCATTCATTCTTAGTGGAAGCCCAAACAAATGCTGACTACATACATGCGACACATGTGTAATAACAACCTGGAGATTATGATTGCGGGCTCCTCTTGTTGCCCGCAATTAACATGATCAATGATCATGAGTAATTTTTTTGATATATACCAGTATTTTAGTTGAATTTTATTGAATTCTCTACTGTCACTTTTCTCTTGTTGACTGACTATTTTTTTTTATCACATCACTGTATTTTTTGCTGAATTAGGATATCCAAGCTACAAGATCAGCTCTATTCTCTGTCCACAGCACGGTCCTATAAGAAGCTTGTTCTGGACAGGTTGGTTTTATGAATCTGTGATTGTCTTAACAAGTTAAAAATGAAATCTTATAGCAATTTTTTTCCTGCCTTTACCCTGCTGCTACAGTATTGCTTAACTCTGCCTTTACTAAATGTTGTAAATACGTGTTGCCTCTTGTCTTCAGTAACTTATTGTTATGTTATAATAATAAATGAAAATCATTTGGTTAATCATGCATAAATTGTCAATGTAGCATCTCCTACATGTAAGAAGTACACCCTTTGTAATCTGCATTTTCTTTTGGCAGATACAGAACTCGGACTCATATTACCTAAGTGACCCACTTACTAGAGAGCAATGAATAATTATTGTTTTTACTATATATAAATGACTTGATCCAGTCCAAGTTTTGTACCTGTGCATATTCTTGTGTGGCAGGCTTGACTTTCAGCTGAAAAAGAACATGCTATTTAAAACTGTTTTGTCAATCCTTAATTCAAGGAAGCCACATAAATAAACAATGAAATGTTGATTATGTCATGCTCAACTACATATCATTGGTTAATTATTAACCAATGAACTTTGCCATACCATAAAGGAAAGCTTGCAAAAAAGAGTTGCAGTATTACTGTGTGCTTCATGTACTTAGGACAATGATGCCTGAAGTACAACTTCACACCTCTCTATAACATCAAGTGGTAAATAGTCAGAGTCCTAACCCACTCCTCTCTTGCTCTCCACCCCCCCCCCCATCATTCTCATACAAACAAATACCATTACCAGTGTTCATTCTTTACTTAAACCTAATTATCCAGGTACTGATTTACATATTTGACATGTACATAAAAGCAGTTAGGAAAAATCCAGCTTGTATTCAAGTAAGTTATTGCATGCAGTTAAGAGTGTAGCACATCCAATATGAATATACCTATGCATGTATTTTTTTCCTGCAGGCTTTTGTGTGGTGATCAACTGATCAAAAAACTGTTTCCAGATGTCGTAACAGAATCTCCTACAGAAGAACATATTGAAGAAATGAAGTAAGGCTTAGAGGAGCTTTTTATTAGTATGACGAATGAAACATGAACTGTGTGAAAATCAGTCATTAATTCGGATTGTACTAGTTACTGTACTTGTTATACACGCCTTTTCCCTTAATACTGCATGCATCATACGTGCATCGCATAACTGGCACCTTGAGCTTGCATGCAAAGAAATGAAATGCAATGCAAAATCAGTGCATTGTTTTTGGTTGGACAGAACAAAACTGAGTCCAGACTAAGATGACTGGTCTGCTCTTATGTTATTGAGTGAATGTCACCTTTTTTCAGTGCTTTTGCCAGGCTGTGTGAAAAACAAAATAAACTCAGCACAGACATTCTGATAGAACATGAGGTAAGCTTTATTTCTTAGATAAAGTTGATTGAGAACGTTCAGAACAGTCATGCTGCATGAATGTACATGCACCCTTTGTATCTCGAGGTTAACTACTACCAACAAATATGGAGCAGGGACTGGATAATAGGCTCCCATACAGAAGTTCTTTTGCTTAGTACCCTCTACTTCGCTAGTAACAAGAGATAAAAACGTCATATCCTGATGCAGTCCAGCTGTATGGGGATCTTCTTTTCCCACCTCTGCCCCCGTCCCTGTGCATGTCTTGTTTTCGCTTTGCTGTTTTATTTTCTCGTCAGTGTTTCCACTATCCGAGAGCTTGGCACGGGCTTCGCTAAAGTAAATGTCATTGAGTGAGTGAAAAGGGGGCAACAGCGAATTTTCATCTTACCTTGTAAAAAGGTTTCTTTGTACACATTCGTGCTGGTGATAATTCGGCTTAAATTAGATATACTAAAAACATGCATGATCGGCAGCATCTTATTGATCATATTACAATTTTCCCTTAGGCTTTGTTAGAAGCTCAAACTGTGTTAGACAAAGTTAGGCAACAAAGTTATGGTGAGTAACTTAAGAAGTTATAGTGAGTAACTTTAGGTACTAAGGGCCAAATATTTAAACGAAGTCTAACTTAAGCCGCGGTTTAACGAATCTTTGAACCTCCAGATCTCTTCTGGATTGTTTTAAAAAGATAAATGCTTTTCTAGTCTTCTCTATATGCTTTCATAAAACTGTTCACAATAAATGATGTTTAGATATAATCGTTGGGCAAATTAAAACTGATGAACACGGTTTTGTTGATCACTGGCTAAACAGCAAAACTCTCTGACACGCGTCAGCATTGTCAAAACTTCACGTCCACATTATAAAGCAGTACTGTAAAGTTTTGAAATGTATCCTCTTTGAAGAGCGTTTTACTTTTAGAAAACGTCCGTTTTCGGTGGACAGTTTATCTGGATTTAGTGGCATGAACTCTGGGTCTAAACGAGAGAATCGCGTTACATTTTCATATTTATCCGGCGTATTGTGCATAGGATCTAACTCTATTGCTTTTTGTCGTTCTCCCGGTTGCTGTCGCTGGAGTGGGTTCAGTGCTAAAGCTATCTACTGCTGTTGAAATAAATCGGTGATAGTTCCAGTAACTGATTTCATCATCCTTTTGTTTTCAGAGAAAAAGAAAGAGAACAGAGGGCTTATGAAATCTTTGCAGGTGAGTGTGTCATAAAAACAACTTTTAGAGGAAAAAATTCTAACTAAATCGTAGTCTAACGTTCATGTACGGCTACCTCCCATAAGCAAAAAAATTTCCCTATTGGTCTAAGGGCCTCTTAGTGGGAACTTTTCGTAAACGACCACACCCACTTTTAGGAGCCTAGTGATGTTTCCATTGTCTTTATTCCCCCGTTGGATCTCTGACTCGCGCCCGTTTGTGTTTCATCGTTAAACCAATCAAATTCTTTTACTCTTGTTCGTTTGTTGTTTTGTTTTGATCGTGCTTAATGATTTCAAGATCAAACGAAACTCGCTCTGTTAGGCTAGTTTCGAAGTGTTTTGGCTACTTAATGTGAAGGAATCCTTCCCCACTGAACGTGAGTTAAGAAGCTGCTCTGAAAAGAGGCACAAGACTTTCTAAAACCTGTTTTAAAGTGAAGCATGCTTTAAAACCCTTTCCCATAAAAAGCTACTCTTTGTTATTATAATTATTACAATTATTTTGACTACGCACAAATGAAAGCACTTGGTCTGGAGATAGCTGCTTAAAAGCCAGTCTTTCACTGGGTTTTCTGTTAAACCTGGTATAATTGAATATGTTTTTGTCAGTTGAACGTATGATAAGAGGTACAATGCTATCCCTTTCTTGTTTCGCAGAGTTTAAAGGAAGATCAAGAAAAGGCCTCTTCCTGTAGCACGGACAACGCACAAATTCAAAAGTAAGTAGGAGTTGGATAGAGATAATAACAAAAAAACATTGACATGTTGGTCCAAAAATTAAAGTTAAGCTCTGAAAGAGACGACGTTTTTCGAAAACGTCACTCAATAAGTGAACTCGCGCTGCTTCAAACTTTATCCCGCTTATTCCATCTCGTTCAATTCGTCAAATAATGGCTACTTTTTCCTGAAGTTGAATTCTAAACGACTGTATTGGAAGTTCAGGAAAAAAATAGGAAAATGTTTTTTGTTCACATCCTCCTAAAAACGTGAAATAAGGCACTTTTACGTCGTAGTCGTACAATGACGGCAAAGCATTGAAATGCACAAAAAGAGGGATGCACGTGCGAAGTTGTTGTTTTGCTAATTGAAACCTACTGGGCCAGTTATTTAAACGGAGTTTAGCCAGTGTTTAACAAAATCGGGTTCTAAGCCATTTTCAGTTTGCCCAACGCTTTTATCTTAACACTATTTATCGTGAAAAATTTCATGAAAGCATAAGGTGTAGACTGGAAAAGCACTTATTTTCTTAAAAATAATATCCTACTATGGAAGAGATCTGGAGGTCCAAAGATTTGCTGAACGGTGGCCTAAAATAGACTTCATTTAAATAACTGACCCATTGTTTTTGCCGTTCTTGTTGCCGTCGCCATCGTCGTTGCTTAAGCTCCCTAGTAAGTAGTAAGCGGAATTTTTTTCACTCTTGCCATAAATTTGCAGTTTAGCTTGGATTCGTTTGACAACTGCGTTACCGAAAATTGCAGCCATTTGGCCAGTGTAAGTAAAAACACAACTTTCTTTGGGTTCCGATAAGCCCGAAAATCAGACTACAGGTTAAAGTAGAGGGTTGCGAGAAGGAACGGAGGAAAGCAATGGTGCAGCCTTGATCTTTATAATGGCCACCTCGGAGATGTTTTTTAAATGTAAAAATTGGTCGAGTGGCAAGGAGTTTAAGGCAATGATGTGTTCAAGAACCCTGCTATCTCTATCTCAAAGCTCTGAAAGGGTAATGAAATAAATTCGATTGGTTCGGCTGATGCCTATGAACTTCCAATTAATCCGTTTCATGGATACCTTTACAATACGAATAGTTTCCTTTCACAAATTCAGTGGTATAAATACGGGTACATTTGTTAAGCGGACATGTAGGTTCGGTACCTTAAGTGTCCGTAATAATAGGGTGCAAATACTCGTCGTCATCATTATCATCTTCACCAGTCCTTTCGGTGTCCCGTGTCACACTCCTAGTGCACGAACAAAAGTTCTCCANCGTGAAAAATTTCATGAAAGCATAAGGTGTAGACTGGAAAAGCACTTATTTTCTTAAAAATAATATCCTACTATGGAAGAGATCTGGAGGTCCAAAGATTTGCTGAACGGTGGCCTAAAATAGACTTCATTTAAATAACTGACCCATTGTTTTTGCCGTTCTTGTTGCCGTCGCCATCGTCGTTGCTTAAGCTCCCTAGTAAGTAGTAAGCGGAATTTTTTTCACTCTTGCCATAAATTTGCAGTTTAGCTTGGATTCGTTTGACAACTGCGTTACCGAAAATTGCAGCCATTTGGCCAGTGTAAGTAAAAACACAACTTTCTTTGGGTTCCGATAAGCCCGAAAATCAGACTACAGGTTAAAGTAGAGGGTTGCGAGAAGGAACGGAGGAAAGCAATGGTGCAGCCTTGATCTTTATAATGGCCACCTCGGAGATGTTTTTTAAATGTAAAAATTGGTCGAGTGGCAAGGAGTTTAAGGCAATGATGTGTTCAAGAACCCTGCTATCTCTATCTCAAAGCTCTGAAAGGGTAATGAAATAAATTCGATTGGTTCGGCTGATGCCTATGAACTTCCAATTAATCCGTTTCATGGATACCTTTACAATACGAATAGTTTCCTTTCACAAATTCAGTGGTATAAATACGGGTACATTTGTTAAGCGGACATGTAGGTTCGGTACCTTAAGTGTCCGTAATAATAGGGTGCAAATACTCGTCGTCATCATTATCATCTTCACCAGTCCTTTCGGTGTCCCGTGTCACACTCCTAGTGCACGAACAAAAGTTCTCCATTCAGGCCAGTGTCGGATCCAGGGGAGGGGCCCGGGGGGCCCGCCCCTCCTTCTTGTCAGACCAATCTGAGGCCCGAAGGGCCCAAAAAATTATTTTTAAGACCGGCTCCCCCCCCCCCCACCTAATTATCTCAAGGTCTGGATCCTCCACTGCAGGCCTACTTCTTTACCCAAATTCAGACCTTCTTAAAGAGGGCAGACTATTCCATATTATTGAGTCTTTGAAAAATTTAGTGGAATACAGCATTCTCGTCTTAACTCTGCAGTAATTTTGTAACTTAGACCTCTCTCTTTTCCAGGTTGAAACAGCAAATAACCACGAAAGTAGAAAAGATAGATATCGTAAGAAATGTTTTCCAGGTAAGAACAGTAAGAGGTTTCCTGTAAGTTGCTTTCCGAAGGTCAGGGTTTGGACCGAGTCTTGAATTCTGGAAAAAGTCTTAAAACTTGCAGTTTTGCAAACCGGGAAAAAGTGTGGAAAATGAAAATGAAAAAAGTTTTTTTTTTCAAAACTGCAGCAAGTGCTTAGTTGCTCCTCCACAGCCAAATAATTCAATAGACCATTTCCGAGTTTGAAAAAACGAAACTAAGTGAAAATTTTTTGTTGTTAAAACGAGTTTTATTTGCGTAAGAACAAAAAGAAATTTTCATATCAATGGCTTTGAACTTAGCCTCGCTTTGAAACAGAGGCTTAAAGCAAATTGGAAATGGACTATTGTTCAGAACTGTCTCATCTTCGCATTGCACGATGGTTATTGTACATTTCTAGTGTATCCCATCTCCATACGCATGCCATAGGAGAACTGTTTAGCGGTTCCCAACCAACAGCTACCACTTGTCTACGGTGGAGCGGGCGCGTAACGGAGTGGTTTTGTACTCGCCTCGGCAGTAAACAGTGGAGTCGATTATCGCAAGTGAGACCTCTCGCCTGGGGCTATGCCATGCCGATGAGTACTGATGAGGACGAAGCAGTTGTCCATGACTGCCACTGACGGGGTGATATGGTTGTGCCATACCGCGGAGGTGGTACGTGTGCTTCAGTGCTGAAATTGGTATCATCCTGTGAAAAGCCCTGTTCCCGCATTTTGTTTCCGGAAAATGAAATTATCGTTTTAAAAAAGTCGGGAAAAAGTCTTCAATTTTGCATCCAAAGATCTGTGCGAACCCTGAAAGGTTCGGCTCTAAAAACAGCAACATATTTTAAGTGGTAATAACCAAAGGTTACGGAGTGAGGGCGACAACGATCGAAGGTTAAAGGGGCTGTGTCACGAAATTCAGCCAAATTAGGAAATTACAAAATGCCTGTTAAATTAAGAGAAACATAAAAAATAACTGCTTAAAACTTTAAAGGAAGGTTAAAATAACATAACAGAAACAACAGATGCCACGGATGGGCAAAACTGAAGACGATTGAAACGGATTGAAATTAGGGTTTTTGAAAACTGTTCAGCCTAACAGTTTTTCAAAGTTGATCCCTGCTACTTGCAACTTCAAAAATAATGCTCAGGAGACATATTTGTTTGTCTCGGATCTCTGATTTTGTCATTTGCATGTAATTTCTTTGAAAACTTTAAGTTTCATAGCGATTGAGAGCGAGTAATTGGCAAAATTAAACAAAATGAACTGGACTGCCGTGACACAGCCCCTTTAAAACGCTCTTGTACCCCTCTTTACACCAACGCTTTGCTTTGTGTAAGGTTTGCGTGATAGATGGTCAAAGCAGGCGTGATCGCGTGCAGATTGCGTCCTGTGCGTTCCATTTATTCTTGGTGGAAGTCCAACGAAGCTGGCTTTATACATGCCGGGCATGCGTAATAGCAACCTGGAGGTTAGTTAGAGTTGCAGGCTCCTCTTGTCCCCCGCACACGGTTATGCATTGCAATAAGCATACAATTTGAAAAGTTATAACGGTAATCAGATAATTTTTATACATAGAGGCAACCGAGTTGCCTCTCTTCAAAAGAGATTAGCCTAAAAGGTTTTATCTGGAGAAGCTTGAACTACCGTCTGGTAAGGATAGAGTTCTTTAACAGGACGGAAATAGTCATCAGTGATAAACTCTCCTATACTCGAATGACCCCCTCTGAGAGAGCAGCAGATAACCGTCGGTCATCGGACAATATTCGACTAAACTATTCCCAGTATCCGGAAATATCCTTACTGTAGTTAGATAGAGATTAAATTCCAAGCTGAAGATCTGCAGAGTACATCTGCTTAAAATGAGGAGTTAAAAGTCACAGTAATGAATGGCTGACACACTTAGACCTGATTTTTGATTTCTCCCGATAAAATGGTGACCTGGTCGTGCAAAAAAAAAAAATTGCAGTACCGGCCTCAACTACACTTGTCGACACTTAGCTTAAAAAGCCTCTCTGACCTCTTCCAACCTACAGAGGGGAAAATGAAGCTTTCTCTCCACCACTCCCTCCACGCAATGTTATGCCGCTGTTCGAGCTTCCTGTAGAAAACAACAAATACCCCAACTTTGAATGGAGGAGACGTGGGGTGTGGATTGTTTTGTTCTCCGAAGTTACCCCATTTGAGGACAATTTCTCAACAATGATGTCGCCGACAGCAGGTTCTGTTAAGGGGTTCATGTCCTTTAAAATTATGATTCTCCTATGTAGGGAGCGGCGTCATTTACTTGATGTTTGTTTTTCAGGGGGTCATCGTCGGTAGTGGTCTTGACTGGGCGTCTGACGACGACATGAAGCGACTTGTTCTCAGTCTTGGAGAGGTTTTGGAATTCGCTGCGTAACGCATGCGCCAATTCAGGAGGAGAGCTCAACTGTCATCTACCACAAGTAGGAGAGTGGATCATTTATGATACACATACCTAGCCTAAGCCTAAGTTGAGAGACGTGGACTGTCTTTACCAAACTGTTTAAAGTGGGATCTGGGACTTTGTGACGTAATAGACTGTACATCAAACACTAAAGTGGAGCCTCGATAAATAGAATTCCCCGCTAACTCGAACTAAGTCCCATTTCCCTTGGATTTCACCCCACTTTTCAGTCAGTTTTACTCCGCTAACTCGAACTAAATTCCCTTTCACATCAAAAATTCACTGAAATTTACGTCAACAACTCGAATTTTGTGCAACTCCACTCGAATGCCATCCATTAGCTGCCAACACTCGTCAACACTACAGCAATCTGATTTTAATTGGTGCAAAAAACGGATCACCTCTTATCATAAAAAATGCCTTACGAAATAAGTTAAATTTTTTCTACACTATACACTGAAGGGCTGAAAAATCACTAACTACTCTCAATTTGTAACATGGCAAATTGAATTTTTCAATCGACCTCGATAAATCGAACCCACGCTAACTCGAACTGACTTTCGTTTCTCTTCAGAGTTTGAGTTACCGGGGTTCTACTTTAGCCGTGGAAACAGTGTTTAAATTGTCCTCAAGTTGTTCGACCACTGAAACTTATGGGGGATGAACATACTCAATGTCATGTGTGTTGTATTCTCTGTCATGGTAAAAGAATCTATGCCTCACACCGCTCGCTTTTAGCTATGTATAGGGACAATGAATATACTTTACCAGTTTGTTGAAAGATTTGTCGTCACGGCTGTTTGAGAGGGAAATTTAAAAACCGCGCAAGAGAACCAAGAAATTCGGGCTAACAACAATAAAGCAGGCCGCATCAGCTGAAAAAAAACCACGGTAACTCGGAAACTACGCTTTTCCTTACTATGTGATTTTGCTGTGTCGAGTCGTGGTCACTACCTCTAGGCTAAACTATAAGAGCTCCAAAACGGTGAAATTGTGTCACTGCACCTTGGATATAATCAAACACAGCAAGAATTTTTTTTAATTATAGTAAATAACTATATCCAGCGAACGTACATTCCTCGCAGCTCCTAAAGGTCTTAAAAACTAATGCATGTTCCTGAAAAGTGACATTCGAGAAATAGGCGCTGGATCAGTTAAGGGCTTCAGATGCGAAATTGTCCCACTACATTCTGCATTTTGACGATAGGAATTTTTTATGTGGTTCCCAGTCATCAAAACAATTAGAATTGCTGATAGCTTTCACAGTATCGCGTATCTCTCGCGTCGAAAGTAAGATTTTTTTGCTAGTTTTTCTATTCGCTCTCGAATGTCGTTCTGTGGTGATTTCAGTGGTTAATCAATGGAACTGAAGACACTTTGCGGAAAAAAAGAGTGAATTCGGTAAATTATTTGCGCGCACTCGCCCTGTAATCCGGAAATCATCCGAAAGACATACCGAAAATGGTCTAGCAGGTTAAAGGCCTGTTTCATGCGACCAATTTAATTATTAGTCCGTTTTGAGTTCTGCAAAGTCTAGTTTGAAATGCGCAAAAAATCTCATACTTTGGTCTCGAGGTGGACAAATAACATTTTGGTCTGTTTCAGCAAGCTAGCGACACAAACCGACCCACAACCTCCCCCCCCCCAACTACCAAAAAAATTAAAAATTAAAACCGGAGAAAAACAGACCAACGGTGAAAATCCTTTCCTCCTTTCAAACAGACTTGAAACTTAAAACAGCAGGAAATATTTTACATGGTGCTAATGAAAAGAAAATATTTTAATCCTGCGATGATGCATCTTCTATAGGCTTCCTGCAGTGGAATTATCTTATAATCCTTATTCTGTTTTTATCACCTGTTTATACCTGCCGATAGCTTGCTTTTATCAGATCGATTTCAACCTCAATCATTAGGGACAATAGAGAGGCCGGCTGGAAAACCTAGACTGGAGTCTGGGCTGGACTGCACTAGACTCTGGATTCCCCCCCCGCCCCCCCAAAAATTACCCCCCTAAATAAAAAAGTCCAGTCCAAACCCGGGAAGCAGTCAAGGGAAGTCTGGGTAAATCTGTGCCGCCTAAGCCTTCAAACCCTGACCCTGTTTAAGACAGGAGTTAAGTCATTTTTCACACTAAAATCGAGGAAATAGATATTAAGGAAAAAAATTACTGGTATTGCAAATGTAGACCGCTCATCTTAAGTATTCGCACTCTTTGAAAGGCTTCCAGTCTAAAAAGACACCTTGTTCAAGACGCTAAGTAGTGAAATTATATACCATGTTTAAGACTCAAGACCTTGAAAACCATACCCTGTTCAGCGGCACATACCCAAGAAGGGAGTCCCCCCGGGGGGGGGAGTAGTAAATGGGCCATTTCTGTGTTGCCCCAAGCCTCTCTTTGAAAGCGAGGCTAAGTGCAAAACCATTGATATAAAAATGACTTTTTATTGTCATGAAAATAAACTCATTTTCACAAGAAAGATTCTTCACTTAGCCTCGTTTTGAAAGTGAGAATTTTTGGAACTTGGAAAAGGCTGCCCCTTTTGACACGTGCACCACAACCCGAGGGAATTCTGGTACTCACGTGACCCAAGAAAACGCCTGCATCGTAGGCTGCTGTAAAGAGATTGCCATTCATTCACTTCAACCTAGGAGGTAGCACGAATACAGTTCCTTACGTAATCATAATGTATCTTTGCTCTGCAGCCTCATTTTTTTGCTCATCTTAGCTATCACAAAATGTACAATTTCTCCGCAAGAATGGATGTGAAATTATAGGTTGTTGTTGCTAATGTGGTATAAGAAGTAGGGAGTTTTGGACTCGAGAGGGATGATTTATATCTCATGACAGAATTTCTGCAGCGTAAATTGCCTCTCGGTTAAGTCAGGGAGAAGGAGTAAGTTTTGAAGTAGGCGTGACTTGTTGTTTGAAAGACTATTTTATAAAGACCAGGAACTGTTAAATTTTCCACATTTCCTTTTCTAACCATAAACTGGTTTTCTTATTCGTTTCTACTCTTATGTTCTCGAATTATTTTTAGGAGAACCACTGTTTAGTTGGCACTTTTTTGCTGCTCTCCTAAACTCTTTAGCTCGTGAAGTTCATTTCATGAAGATCAGTACAATGTGGAGTATTATCTAAAGACTGCTTATCCAAACCGTCGATGTACTAATTTTCTTGTTTTCTCTCTAAATCATTTCCAATAAGTTTGTTGATTAGTCATTGTCCCAGATGTTGCACTGTTCACTCGGTAGCGTGATTTTTGCTGTTTACTGTAACTCTTATAATCATGGATAGATAACGTAAACAAACTTTCTCAGCATGAAACTTTTGAAACTGGTCCAGTGGTTAAATGAAAACACTTGTTTTAAATCTTTTGCCCGTCTGTGATGGCACAGTCCTTGTTCTTGCCCTACCAGGTATTTCGAATTGCAGACTAATAATATCTTGTTCTTAACAAGAAGCCACATCTTTTTCTTGTTGTAAGACGTTTTTCTCATACCAGTGATTACGTAATGCATGTGGCGTAAGCCTGTGAGTTAACTTCGCTGTGTGGCGAGTTTAAAACCTTTTCACGTTTCCAGCTAAGCGTTGCCAAAAAATAAATCTTTCTTAGCTTTCAGCCCCCAAACACGGGATGTACGGGGAAAATGATTGTGACTGTAATGGGTCAGCGGCCAGAATTTCTCAAATTTCGCTCTTCAAGGGTTTATCGAGTTCTGCTTTTTTTGGCTTTTTGGTTAAAAATAGAGCTGTACAAACACTTTAACATTAACCTAATTCCTAAATCCGAGGGAACGTGATAGTTAACAGGAGCTTAATTTATCGAGTTGCCTAATTTGCGAATTTTTGCAAATGATTTGAACGTGGACAGGGAACGTTTCCCTTGTTCAAATTTACGACTTAAGATATTCGCCCATTAGCCAGAGTAGTTGTATACCGTTGTTATATTTGGAGTTTTAATTGATAAAAAAAAAGAACAAGTCATGTTTTTAGCGATGAACGCTTGAAACACCACGATATAGACGAATTGCTTAGCATTTGCTCTGTTCGTGAATTCTTGACAAATTTCAAGGCCATTTTAGGCCATCTTTGCGGAAAGAGTACAGCTGGATATAGGGGAAAGGTCAGTAGAAGAAAGTTCGAGTCATCCCGTCTATCGTTACCTTTAAAAGCAATAACATGTCAATAATTTTTTTCATTTATAACAATGGCGCCCATATTGAAATTTCTTGGCCGGCGGCATTGCATTCTTCTTGGTCAGTTTAGTGTATTCCCACGACTCTTGTGCACGCATTGCTAAACTGTTTAGCTTCTCAGATCAATAAAAGGGTACAAAATAAGTCTGTGGATGAAATCTTAAGGTGTGGCCATTCAAAGAAAAGTTACTGACTTCTAGATTCCTATTGTTTTGTTTATTCGTTGTACAAGGCTGTTGAACTTTTGAGATTGTGGATAAACTTCTTAACTGTGACCATTTAAATGAAAGCTTGGAGTGAATATTCCTTCCACTTGGTCCCATCTTGAGATCTTTTAAATGAGGCCTCTTGGCGCTGCCTTTCGGAAGAAATAGCGCCATTTGCTTCTTAGGATTGTACAAAGGGAAATGCAGACCACTAGTAGTGCTGAAAACCGTTAAGAAAAAATTAGTCTTAACACACGTTTGTATGAATAATAGTTTTGTTTAACAAACCAACATTGAGGCAGCCCTCTTTTGTTGTTCTATTGATTTCCTGTCGAGGAACTATTATTCTAGTTGAAAACTCATCAGAATACATGACATCAAGTTCAAGTTTAATGTAATAAAACTTTAATGGAAAGCAACTGTTTTCATGACATTCTCCACCTAATCTTTTATCAATGTTTTGGTTGTACGTTCCCTTAAGTGCATTTAAATTCACAGCAGATGTAGAATAGGTCACTGACTAACAGGAATCACGATCTCATTCACGCCAGCAGTGCATAAAATTGGTTCTATAGCAAGGTCAATAACTTGAAGGCACCCTGCCGCAGAGAGACAAACTTCTTTTAAGTTTTCAAATCGCTATTGCAAAAAAGTGTGGCTGTTAGCACGCAAGATAAAACAAATAATGATAACAGGAGACTTCATGCGCGCCTTTTTCCCATTTATGCACGGTCATTTATTAGTGAATGCTTGGCCGTAAACGTGCAAAAATTTGGACGCTACTATGTAAACTGAGCATCGTCCAGAAAACCCACCTCTTCATACCATGTTCAGCTTATCAGGATTATAAAAGCTTCCATTGACGCCCTTGTTACTTAATAGTCATTATAGTCTTGGCAAACATGGGATTGGCAAACCAAATTTCCTCTACTTGTGTTAGGATAAATAGTTGTAATGATATTTTAGGTAGAAATTAATTGGAGCTTGCAGGATCTGGCTTTCAAATGGGAATAACACCTGTTACGAAATGGCCCATACCCCTCGTCGAGGGTTAACTAACAACATATTTTCTGCGTTGTGGCTTTGTGTTTATTCAGTAGTTTGTGTTAATCCTGTTCTTATCCTCTCAGACGGGCTTGTGATGCCTTCCTACGATAATGTCTTATTGCATAGAGGCCAAATGAGCTGAAATCTCTTATCGCTGATTTTGAACGCTTTTCTCTGCAAGTTGGATAACGCACAACTGCAGCGGAAATAATGATAACTAGATTTTCAGTTAAATGCCAGTTTTGAACTACTAAGTTACAGGAGCAGAGTTCAGTAGTTATTAGGATACAAGAAGCGATGGGAGACATATGTGAAAGTCCAAAAACACAGGCGGAAGTCATTCAGAAAGTCATTTCAAATAGATTTAAGTCAAAATATCGCTCTAGATAAAAAGAATTTTTTCAATGCGAGAGGATGCAGTTGATAGTTCAGAAGTACTATTATTTTTCCCCTTTTTATTTTCCCAGTTTTCTTAATTTCGTTCTTTTTTCATTCGCAACTGAGCTTTACGGAAAGGCCAATAATTAAATGTTTTACCCAATGAGATTAGTAAGATTTTTGTTGAGTTTCTATTGACCTAAGGAAACCAAAACAGCATTGCTCGCAAACAGCCCTTATACTGAGTATTTATTTTCTTTTGCCCGATTATTTTTAGAATATCGTATAGACTATATAAGGCTCAGGTTTTCGTCCCGTCATAGAAATTAGTAAGACAAGAGATCAGACACAACTTCTTAAACATTACCTACGCATCCCAATTCCATTTTTGGCAATTTGTCATACAGTGATTTCCACATTGAATTTTTTATTTCGTCTTTCGAATTTCCTTATTATCGATCTCTTTGTCAACATAACACACACAATATACATATAAAGTTTATTTAACGAGGGCAGCTACTTCATTTTACACATTCAATAGTGTTATCTGTATAAGGCCTGGTAATATTGGGCTTTGTCAATTTTAATGCACAGTAAATTGCTTTTTAACTGCTCTTTCCTAAACGAGACATTAAAAGACAAGGCCGCACGCATGAAGTGCAAAATTTTTAATATCTTTCGTCTTATTTCTGCGGTAATCGGAGGCGTTTCGGCAATTTATCCGTTTTTAACAAGTTGCAGCGAAAAACAAAAAGATTCATTAATACTCATCATTTTCCGGATATTGGAACTCACTTCTAATGGTTCTCTTGAAGCGTTTCTGTGTTACTAAATTTGTTTTGCAGTACTATTTCCCGAACATTCACGTGCATGGTCTTATTTCGCAAATTTTTATCGACAATGCGGTCGTTAACTTGATTGTGGTTTGTCCGCAATCTCTTTGCTCTATCTACAGGCGTTTTAAATACACATGAATCTCTGATTTGTCGCCTTGATTTAGTTTTGATGGAAATTCCGTAAATGCTTGGTTGACAACGCAGCGATACGCAAAGAAAACCGGCAATTACTAATCGCCGCTCCGTGTTTTCGAAATAATCAAGTTTCGGCAATAAACGTTCTCAGCCCTCAATACAAAAAGTTGTCTCGCGATTTGATTAATTTTATCGCTTAGAGCCTACCTTAATTATACGTGAATAATCGCTAAAAGCTGACCCATATGTCATAAACTGAACAGCGATGAAAAAATACTTGCAGGAAAGCTAGATGCGATAAAGTCATTTGTGTTCAGTTTCAAACTGCGCATTTTATGAGCTAACGTCTTTACAGAGCACGTTACTTTCGACCACAAGACTGGTCCAATATTCTTCTCTTCTCATGCCTCAAACCATTTCAAAAGGAACCGAAGAACAAAACACGACTTTGCATTGACACCAAAGTTATTTTCAGCTTGACTGCTCATAGTTATATCTTACTCTTCAATGGTCGCATTTATTCCATTTACATCCATCTATCGCTGCAAAAACTGATACCATATCAGTTACAACAAGTGATCTGACATACAAAAGGGAATTAACGACTTTATTTTACACGACAAACAGGAAGATTGTGTTTAGAGTGTAGAATACAATAACGGGGCGCGCGTTTTAACTTTAATAAACAACAAAGAAACGTTTAATTAGTGAAGTTTTGAGTGGGTAATTGTGCTGGAATGATCATTTTGGGCTGAGCAATTTCTTGTAATCGAACCGGAATTACCTAAATTAGCAACCCACGTTCGCGGGTGCAGTCCGGGTTTATAGGACGCATTAGCCGACCCTGTCTGTTTCTCGAACGCATTGCCTCGTTCAATTCCGTGGTTTCCGGCCTATCATACATTTGAATTCGTTCCTAAGTCGGGTTTTGTTTTGACAAGCGTTTTGTCCCGATGTTATTACTTGATTTATTAGAAAAATACAGTGGATATAAGCACAAAAGGCGAACGAGCCAATCAGAGAGCTCCTTCTCACAAGACCCATTCTTCCAGACGATTGCCTTGTTTCGCTTCATTTTAATCGCGAAATTGGTAAGATTAGTGGCTTGTGAAGGCGATCATGCGATGAGAGCTGTTGTTAGTTGTTATAAGTACCATCTTGACCTCAAGCGCGACACAAGTATACTAGAAGTGTTTGTCCGAGTATCTACAATCAAAGCTACTTGAAAAGTGCTAACAAGTCGGCGGGCGGAGAAGTGGACCCGCTTGTTCGACGTGTTCAGGTACAATCTTCAAGCGCCCTCCTTAGATTGACAGATACAAGCCATTAAGCAATCACACGAGTCTGTACATCTCAGAGCTTTTCACCGAGACGTTTTTTTTGGAGACGCGTTTGGACAAGCGGCAAACAAAAAAACGATGATTGCACGCGTCTGCCTTCTGTCTTTTGTCTCCTTAATCGTTCTCGCTGCGATCGACGGGCAAAGAAGAACGAGGTGGGTATGAGTATTGTTTGTCGTTTGTTTCAATGTGTGAAACTTTCACCATGAAGCGAGAAGTGGTCGTTGAAAATTGATGCTTCGATGGCGCGTGTCGTCCAAGAGCTTGCATATATGCGCTTTCAGTCGACCTGCGCGTGCAACGAACATAATTCACTACACACAGTCTAAACATTCGGCACCTGGAGTTAAAAGTTGTATCTTTATCTCTGCAGGCAAACAAACGAGGACGCCAATAGGTTTTGCTCGTGGCTCAAGGGTAACAAACTGAGAAACTGTCTATCTCACCCGTTGTTAGGGCTGAGCGCTCGGGAAGGTGTCGAGGAAGCCCTAAAGGAGTGTAGAAGTCATTTTACTGATCGTCGATGGAATTGCTCGGGGCTCACCATCGCTGATGTTTTTCAAAACGAAAGAATGCTCAAGGCTGGTGAGTAGCGAATTCACCTACACATGATGTAAGGTTAATTTCCTTTTCTTCATTCAACACACATCTCGAGACAAACCCTCCCTCCCTCCTTCGTTTTCCGCTCTGCGACCTACCGCTGTTGTATAAGGTTATCATGAATTTTGTGAGCTCAGATTTTCCTTTTACCCTTAATTTAAGCCTATGACAGAAATTATTCACGCGGCTTTCCTTCAAGGAGGCTTTGAAAGTTATTTGCTTCGGGTAGTATGTGATTCTATCGCAGCGGCACCAACTGGAAGGCACATGTGTTTTTCCCTTTACGCGGAGAACAATGTAAGGAAATATTTTGTTTCAGAAATCCGCTTTAATTCCCCTTCATAGAATTGTAACTGGCCGTGTCTTTCATGTCAAATTCTAGTCTGGAATAGCTATAACAGAAACTAAAGTTACGTTGCGTGGCATTGCCATCTTACCCTCAGGCGCTCAACTGGGACTCGCGTTCCTTGACGCAGATCTCTCAGTGTGAACATTTTTGAACCGTAGGTAGCCCTTTGAGCAGTTTTATCGGCTTTATTCAGTTTTCAGAAAGCCCAGCACGCGCTTCGAGACCTCTGAGTTGCAAGTTAACCTTTCAACAACAAATTTTGTGCCGGCGACTTGTTGACGCAGATCTTTTGCTTACTGCTGAAAGATCGTGTCTCAGGGTTTTTTTTTTAGCCTTCGGTGCTCACCCTTGCCTAGTCACAACGTTGTTACAAGCTTAAAACGAGTCTAACGGACTTAGAAATGTCTCGAAAATTTGCATCATGCCAAAGGTTTATCCGATAGTCAAACACGTCTATTTTTGACACTAGCTTTCGTTTCAACCCGTTGTCTTGGGTATAGTTTTCGCGCAATTTCGCGCAGAAAATTGCTTCTTCAAAACGCATACCTAGGATAGATTTGGCTCTCTTTGTTGTCAGCATAAACGAAGTTCATTCCTGGATTTGGCGGTCTTTGCTAGATAAATATGACTTAAGACATGACCACTGTTTTCTTTGAAAGTTACACCAAGGTTTTTACAAGGCCACCACGAGAAAACGCGTTTTTGATGACTTCCTATATGATAAACGGCTGTTGGAATTGTAAGCGCTGAGTAAGTCTCGTATAGAAGACTCGTGCGCCATCGTTTCCCTGTTAACCACCTTATCTTGGCTGGCACAGACGTTGAAATATGTATTTGAATGTGTACACAGTGTAGATAACTTAATGCTACTCGTGGTTTGCTGTGACAAGAAGTGTCAGTATGTTTGCAGCGTTCGTTGTATCGCTAATCCTTGGGATCGTTTCAAGCTCCCTATCATAATGGCTTTCTTTCATTAGAGTAATCGAATATCAGCGTAACTCTAGCTTTTTAATTTTCCGGTCCTTTCAACAATTAGCAATGAAAAAGGCGAAGAAATTTTCAAAACAAACATATTAGAAGTGAAAAACACAATAGTCGAAGCACACTCTCTTTCACTTGCACCCATTCGTGGACGCGCCTTCGCGACATTCGCGCGAGTGGAAGAAAATTAATTTCCGTTTTACTATAATCGGTCATTATGAGAGGTCCTTGAGTCGTGTTTAAAGCGAATACCCACACGAACGTAGGCATTCTTTTCGTAGGAAAGGATTAGATAGCGGAATGACCCAAAAAGTTAGTCATCATGTGCGTCACTTTGTTCCTCGTTTCCTGTGCAGTGTGGAATTCACCACAACAAAAACTTAATTGACACCATACAAATTAGTCTGACTGGCTTTTGCCTTTGTAAACATCCTAACACGAAATTCGTTTCCTTTTGAGCTTTTCATGAAGAAATTAGGAGCCAGCATGTCTATTGTTTTCATCAGATTGGAGCGTTGTTATCGTGAATCGCAGCAAGATTTTGGACATGATGTTTCGCTCCGTCAATACAACTAGAACACTTAATCTTTTGCCACCCCAAAAATGATCGATCAACCTTTTTACCTCTTGGGTCAACACACTTCTGACAGCCTTTTCTAAAAGGAGCACCATAATCCTGAAAGAGATTTATTCCCGCAAACTTATCATTAATCTATTGACAAATAATTGCTTTCCTTTCGCTATTATAGTCTTTATAACCCTCCAGGCAATTAGCTCGGCTCTTTTCATTGTCTTTGTCCCTGTATGAAATTGTCGTTCTCGAAAATTACCCAACGAGAAAATGGGAAATAAAAAACAAGACAAAACTACAGGCGGCAATTATAAAGAAAGAGCGTAATTGAAGGTCGTTAAAGCTATCACAACTTCAAACAACGTTTTGTAATTTTCCTTTAAACATTTACCCAACGAGAAAATGGGAAATAAAAAACAAGACAAAACTACAGGCGGCAATTATAAAGAAAGAGCGTAATTGAAGGTCGTTAAAGCTATCACAACTTCAAACAACGTTTTGTAATTTTCCTTTAAACAATGCTTTGTCAGAACGGGACATTTGGCGTTTGCCTTTCGTTGTTTTGGAAGTATAAGATTTGAATTCTTTAGTCTTCCTGCAATAAAAGCCTTGACGTGATCTCTACCAAAACAACCTGAGGGAAGCATTTTTGTACTTATCTAAACATTTTAAATCTTTAAGGTGCTGATTGCACCGTGTGTTTGTTCAAAAATCGGAAAATGGTTATTTTGTTTGTTCAATGTACTTGGTACTGAGGTAAACCACTGGATGGGAAGTATACAGTTATTCCATCTATCAGTTTTCGTGCCTACATGTGTTCTTTTCCATAGAGAAATTCGTTCCCTATAGAAGTAAACATCTTTCTCCTCTCCCTTCAAAATCAATGCAATTTCAAGCAAATATCAAGAGCGAAAACAATTCAGTTAATGGTCAGATGTCACTCTAGTCAGAGAGAAATTTCTCAAAACTTAAATGTGAAAATAAATATGCCATTCAATAAAGAAAGTCCATTACATGCGCGGTTTATGTTTCAAACCACCTATTGGTCGCTTGCCTCTTTATGGTAAATCAAGACGTCATTTTCAGATTAGATCCTACTGTGTATAAGGGTAGTGATAATACGATACATTTAGATACAAATGCAATGGAATCAAAGGAAATAGCAAATGACGTTCCTTGGGCTTAACAACAGCCACGAAAAAAAAGTAAACGAGCTCATCATCACGTTGGGGCGTTTAACCTTTCGCTTCCTTGATGAACGTAAAGTCATGAAATCTTTCATTGACCTTCGACTCTGTAGAGTGAGGAGATCCAACGGAGAATGCTTGTTTTTGTAGTTTTACATGGTGCTGTTAGGCTAGCCATACAGATGGTTCTAACATTTAGGTGTGTGGTTAAAACCCTACTTTGTGATCCCTTGAACGAAAGCTCATGAAGGGTACTTTCCCTTGGTTGTTTATCTTTGACTTTCTGCTGGATAGTTTTAATGGTTTTTAGACTGTGGATTGAATTTTCGGAGCGTGCATGCAAGTGAAAACTTTATCAGCAATACCTTCATGTGGAACAGACAGTAGTTGGAACCGTTGAGTCTGTAGAGTCACTCACTCACACGCGCCTCCTCTTCATGTCCATCGAGTCATAAGGCCTCTGCTAGTGTCCTGTTTTTCTTTGCCAAAGATTTAAGCAGCACATGGCTTTTTACAAAACAGGGCTGTTATAACCCTGCTCTACCTAATCTGGCCCTATCCAGTGGACCACCCCGGCCGCCGCCCTTGTTGAATGTACCAGGAATGTAACGAGCTCCCGCCGATGAAGTTCGAGGGTATAAAGATACGCCAGGCTTCCAGCCACTTCAAGGCACAGTAGCAATGAGAGAGTCTATAGGGTGCAACTATTCAAATGAAAACCACTATGAAACTTATCATTAGCTATATTTCCTTGTGTCCTTTGGCTTATTAACAGCTGTATTAAGCTGCACAAGGAGGTTCTCACTGTTGAATCTGTGGATAAAGTCCTAAAGTGTGATCGTTCCAAACATGAAACCTACTGAATTGTTCTCTCCTGTTGTGCTATTTATCATGTTCTTTAACAATTGTGAAGTTACGGATAGTATGCTAAAATGACTTGTGATTCTTCACTATTTCACGAAATTGAGCACGAACAAATTTAAAGTTAATATACCTGTTGTTTTTTCTTCATTACTGATGCATGGCTTCAAGACCCAAGATAACCACTAGAATTCATAAGATTTTGCCCTCCAGCTATGCGGGCTCCCCTTTGTACGTTATCTGTCCTCCATTCTTTAACAAAATTAATTTTTTTTATTTTACTGAGCAGAGGATTAAGATTGTTGCATCATAGCTAAATTTGTCTGTTGTATCTTTTATGATTTCCGGTCTGGTATTCAACGTACTTTGACGTCAGTGCTTACGTTATTTTAATTCATTAACGACGATTATGTCTCACAGTAACAGGTTAATTTCTAGCCATTTTCTAAAGTTGTGATTAAGTTCGTTCCTGATCAAATGTGACATGTTTTAGCACTTGAAAGCCGAGGATTGTAAACTGATATAAAGACCATTAATTCTGGCTTAATTTGTTCATTGTTCGCCTGTTTTTTGCACGCGTGAGTACGAAACAAAGAGGCCCGCGTTTTACTCTTGCGACTTGTAGACGCCGCCCATTTTTTTCTCTTTAAAGAAGACAAATATAAGCAGATGCAAAGACCTTTACGTAGCCACAAAAATATTTTCTAACTACGACATCAAACGATGTAAATAGCCTTATTGGAAAGGGCCTGACAATTAAGAACCATATTTATTTTTATTTTAATGATAAAGTTACTCCGCAGCAAAGAACCGCTCAGCACCTTCAATCAGTAAGGATTTGATTTACCACTAAAGTGGAAACACATTTTCCAACATAAGGGCAGTGCGACAGGAAAGTACGGCTCCCAAGTAGCTTTTATGTTTTCCATTTCCAAACTTGAACCTCCTTCTACAACATAATTAACAAAACCACAGAAAAATACCACCACACAGCCACTTCCATTTGAATGATCACTGAAAATTTAAGGCTTAGTTGATCACCTCGCCTATGAGTATGTTTACGTCACACTTAAGATGCCACTCGAACACCGCAGCGATGGAACATCGACATTACAAAGACTTTATCGCACATCACGAAATTAGAACCTCACTTTTTAATAACAAAACGTTTTTAAGAATGCGGAACATCCTGTGCTGGTTTATAGAGGTGTATCATTGACGTTTTTCCTTTATTGTGAAGATAATGAAATTCTGGAAGAGGAAAGGTGCCAGAATTTTCACTATTTACGGTCTAGACATGTAGGAATAAAAAAAGCATCATTGGCTTAACATAGTGTTCCAAGATAATTGATTGTTTTTTAAACTTTTCTAGGTGTGTGGAATCAGAAAGTAAAATTTAAGAGTTTACCACAATCATTTTCCGACTGGCCTTCATAGAAATATAATAAGAATGTTGGTCTTCGGGCAAAATTTTTTTGATCATTTATTTTGAAACGAGTAGTGCAAAAAATTCTGAAGAGGTTACATCTGAAAAATATGTTGTGGCTTAAAAGCGAAGTTTTCTTAGCTCATTGTCTGAAAGGGCAAAAATCTGCGGACTATTTTCATTCCTTAGTGAAAGGGGGTGAATTCAACCCAGAATCGGAAAATGACCCAAACATCCTCAACTTATTCCTTCATTTCATGTGAAGGTAAATGCTCTAGTGGAAATGCATAATTGTCATCAGCTCGTGCTACATCCTGATATTCGTTCAGTTGGCAAAGCTGTCTAAAATTAGTCAATGGAGTGAATGAACGTTTTCCATTGGATAGCACTTTCCACGTTTTGAGCAAGCCGAATATTTATTGAGATTGTTGCACTTTTTTTTTTCGGAGGTAAAAAATTTCTTAAAGAAATTACGCTCATTATTTTTCTTAGACAAGGTCAGGCGAAATCGCCAGAACTGTCTCTCGCCTAATTGTAAAGACGCCTGTATTACCTGTAATGTTACAGTGAATGGCGTTCACATAAAAAAAGATGTGAACGTGATTAATTTAAGCAGACAAGACGGAGACAAACAATAGCATCATGAGCATGATAACAGATTGTTTTCATTAAGTTGAAATTGATTGCATCTTATCTTCTGTGTCGTTTACGATGTTAATCCTGCTTGTAAGGGACGAGAGAAGACGTGAAAGAAAAAGAGTTGAAATTTGCGTTCCTTAAATAGGTTACCACGCAAAAGGCGTACGAGGTATTTAAAAATGGCCATCGCATCAACCTGATAGGCTGCTAGACGTGTTCCTCCCCATTCTGAAATTATGAAGTGCTCAAAGAAGGGGTCAATATTTCACGATTCTGATCATAGTCTCGAGGTAGTGTGTCACTATGCCATGCTATGCCGCTCTGATTACCAATTTCCCGCCATTTGGCTTGATCTTTGCGCGCTCAAGCTGCCACGTTCCCGCCATTACTTTGAGGCAACAAGTTGCGTTGATTTTCAAACCATTTTGTCCCACTGGTGGCTAGATAGAAGCGAGGTGAAAGACCGAAAAAAAACCCGAAGCCATTTCCAGCGAACGGAGCGTATATGTTGTACAGAAGTTCAATTTTATCCTTGGTTTAAATTTCATTTTCCCTTGTGCTTGGGTATGGTAATGTATGATAATGAGGTTAAAACGGAGGAAAATAAAATTTAAACCAAGGATAAAATTGAGTCACAGCATATACATATACTGTAAATTTGCCTCTTCTTTCTCTCCTTCAGATAACAGGGAGAGCTCATACCTACAAGCCGTTTCTTCAGCTGGGGTGGCTCATCAAATAACAAGGGACTGTAGTAAAGGAACCAGAGACGAGTGCGGCTGCGACAATCGCCCCCAGGGAAGGGGGACAGCCCCGGGAGAATTAAGCTGGGAGTGGGGAGGCTGCTCTGATGACTTCCGTTATGGCATTCAGTTCTCCAAAAATTTCATGGACCCGAGCAGGAGTTCGGAGAAAAGTTTATCATATTACGTGAGACGCCATAATAACGATGCCGGAAGGAGGGTACGTTTTGTAATATGCTTTTTTTAGTTTGAATCTAAAGGGGCTCTGAGGACACGAGGACATTGCTGTTTTAGGTTAATTATGTTCTAAAGTCGTTCCTCATTGCCTTTACACATACGTTAACTACTACTGAAGACTAGTGAAGGAGATATTAAACAGATTTCATCGGAGAGTACTAACTATAATACTTTATTTGGTGATTTTTGCAACGCATTAAAAATTGAAAAGATTGGCCCAAATTTCCATCCATGTCCATCCTTGCCATCTATTGCAACAGACGATAGGAAACAGTGTCAATGCTTAACAATATTGTAGCCTTGAATAACAAAACCGGACCGTTATTTTTGGAATTAAATTGGTGCAAAGACACGTTTTAGCTTTTTGAAAAGATAGAAAAGCAGCGTGAAATAGCCCCTTTTAGCTCCGTTGCAGCTGTGTGAGTCATCTCGGAAATTCTGCTCAATCGGAGCATGTGTTCTCCCGTTCAGCAACCTTTACCTGCATGCGTTAAGCTCCTGCCCCCGAATGAAAACAGCGTGTACGTTTCGGTTTCTACACGTGCTCGGAATTTCAGGTGACCAACGCACATAGGAAAGGTGTTCTTCACTCAGGTTCTCTCAAATATATAACGTCAAATTGTTTTTCTTAGTAGACAAGACTAAATGCAAAGTTTGTACTTAAAGGATTTACCACCATTGAATCTGGATATTCAGAGAGTTTTAGTTTTCGTCTAGGCTTCGAACAACTGAACACTTTCACTCAGGAAATAGCAAAATTCCAGTCTTGAATACTTTTTAGTGTCAGCCAAAGCTGCCAATATTTAAAGCTGATACGAATTTTATCACATACGGTAGCATGTCATGAGGATGTTTTAAAATTTTATTGCTGAGCATTTCCCCTCCGGCGGCAAAGATAAACGCACACGAAATCGGCCCGTTTGACCCTTGCGGTAACAGACGGTACCCACTAATGTTAACTGCTTCCCGCTCTCACTAATTCCTTAGTTTTAGAACTCACGGACAGTTATGAATCTGGGTTTAACTAGTAAAGCTGTTAAGAGGCTAATATTTTGGTTGATCAGACCCATGGATTTCAAGTCCCTGGATCCGAAATTCAAAGATACATTATGACCGTGACGGTTCTTGTAGGTCAAGATTTTGAGACTGCGATATCTCGACGGAGAACTTATTTCTCAGAATGAAGTATTATTTTTTTCGACTTTAAGCGCATTTACAGGTAAAAACATTACCTACCAAGATTCTAATACTCTAACGATATAATCCGCAAAAGGCATAACCCATCAGAGCAGACTGGATATATCATGTGATATATCGGAGATATGGAAAATTTGGGGCGAAAATCAGTGTTGAGTGGATTAGTTCTATCAAACACTCCCCTTGCCTTTTGTATATGAACCATTTCCTCCCGGAAGTGGCCAAAGTCAAAATCTGCAAATTTCATTTTGTGGAAAGCTGAAAAACAAATAGAATCATATGAAACTACTGCCAAAGAGGTCTCATTTGAATGGTAACACCGTAGTATTTCGTCCACCGACTCAAAAGTTAGAACTACAGACTAAATAAATAGTACCATGTGAAAGTACGGCTGAAAAGGTCTCATTTGAATGGTAACACCGTAGTATTTCGTCCACCGACTCAAAAGTTAGAACTACAGACGAAATAAATAGTACCATGTGAAAGTACTGCTGAAGAGGTCTGAATGGTAACACCATAGTATTTCGTCCATAGACTTAAAAGTTAGAACTAAAAACTAAATGAATAGTCCCATGTGAAAGTACTGCTGAAAAGGTCTCATTTCAATGGTCACAACGAAGGATTTTCGTCTTCAAACTCCAATGTTAGAACCACCTTACAAGACACCATCATTTACATGAGTCAAGAGTTAACCATTCCTAAATATGGGGTAAGGAGTGTTGCAGTTTAGAAAAGGTAGGGAAATCACCACAAGAGTATACAATGCTCAGAGCGGCAAACTGTGATTAGCAGGCAAATATTTTCTACCGGCTTATTGTGACACATCTGTGACCTCTTGGGTATGTGCGAGGGAATCACCACAGGCGTTAAAATCCGGATTTTAAGGCATTTGAGGTTACTCCTCAAGTGTTAAGTGCTTTAAAACGTGTTTCTTGCTCTCGATTCCTGGGCGTTTTCTTTAAACAGGACGTGGATTTGTCTATGTGGCCACGACTTCTAGTTCTATTTGCTACGCAAAGTATTTCCGTGTTTTCTCGTCTAGTGTTAAGTTATTGCCGCTTTTGCTCAGTAAAAGCCTGAGTCGACTCGTGACCACTCGCGAATGTGGCTGAGGTTCCGATCTACCACGAAGTCTATAGCGAAAAATAGAAACAATACCTTTGTACTTGCCGAAAGTGTCCAGTTTGTGGTTTGTCGCTTTTTACTGCTGTTGATATTGAGTTGACGTCTTGCATGCCTCTGGCATCATTATCCTTCACGAACTGCTTCGCTTTTTGTTTTTCATGGCTAGAAATTTTGGCCTATCATCTTGAAGCCCGATGCTGATCGAATAGTGGACAGATTTCACGAGAAAATCTTCCCCAATCTATTCATTAAGTTTCACGAACGTGCTCGCTAAATCCACATTTGTCATTTACTTCCTCTGCCTAATTCATTCCCTTTTTTAGGGCATAGTCTAAAACCTGGATTGGACTCAGGACTGTGTATTTGTATTTTAAACCAAACTTGAATTGGTTTTGAGTACGAGAAATGCTTTGATTTCCTGACAAATAAGCTTCCACAAAACCTCTTTAAACAAAATTAGTTTTTGGCATACAAATTGTTTGCTTAGCCTTCTGGACATTTAATCGCATTCTGTCCCATAAAGCCTTCCTTTATAAATCTTTTAATTAAAACCGTACCATGTCTGTCAATTAATCTCAAATAATCTTCTTACAGCTATAATAGAAAAAAGATGACAAACCATCTTGGGTAATTCGGCTTGATATAAAAAGCCTGAAAAAGTCCATCATGATGAAACTGCGATGACTAGGCTTGACAAAATAACGTNTCATCTTGAAGCCCGATGCTGATCGAATACTGGACAGATTTCACGAGAAAATCTTCCCCAATCTATTCATTAAGTTTCGCGAACGTGCTCGCTAAATCCACATTTGTCATTTACTTCCTCTGCCTAATTCATTCCCTTTTTTAGGGCATAGTCTAAAAGCTGGATTGGACTCAGGACTGTGTATTTGTATTTTAAACCAAACTTGAATTGGTTTTGAGTACGAGAAATGCTTTGATTTCCTGACAAATAAGCTTCCACAAAACCTCTTTAAACAAAATTAGTTTTTGGCATACAAATTGTTTGCTTAGCCTTCTGGACATTTAATCGCATTCTGTCCCATAACGCCTTCCTTTATAAATCTTTTAATTAAAACCGTACCATGTCTGTCAATTAATCTCAAATAATCTTCTTACAGCTATAATAGAAAAAAGATGACAAACCATCTTGGGTAATTCGGCTTGATATAAAAAGCCTGAAAAAGTCCATCATGATGAAACTGCGATGACTAGGCTTGACAAAATAACGTTTTGTGGTTCATTTTTGTTCGCGGGTCAGTTTATATTTTTTTTCCCTTTTTTTGTGTAGGGTCCCCAATGGGATTTTTCAATCTCGTTATCCTAACTTAAAATGTCGCATCGAATCCCGTAATCCCGATTGTCATATTCGGCATCCCGCATCCCGTGCGTACTTTCAATTCCAAATCTCTTCCCCATTTTCCTTTAAAATTCCAAATCCCAGCCTTCTATTGAGGAAAATCTCCGGCATCTCGACAAATTTATTGGGGACCCTTTATATGGTAATGTGTGATGATGATATAGAGGAGCTAAGTGGCGGTTTTCGTTGATTACGAGCTGTTAATCTTAAACCACTGGTAAGTATTTTATTTTCAGTCAAGGAAAGTAAAAACATAGCCTGCGAAAACATCGGTTTCTCCTCTCTCCTCGCCGCTAGGGACGGTTTGCGAGGAGGAACGCCAAACGTCCTCAGCGGCGGAGAGCGAGGAGAAACGGATGTTTTTGCAGGCTAGTAAAAACACCACAACATATTCATACAAGAAGATTTCGTACAGAGTTAACGAAACCCTCCAATAAACGCAATTCAAACCGTTTATTTCTAGTAATTGTGAACTTTTGTTGTATATTTCAGGAAGGCTTTTAGCGATTGGAATCAATGAAATGAACGAAAGAAATTGCCAAACAATAATATAAACTTAAGATAAAGTTTTTCAACAAGGTGTTGAGATCTTTCCTGTAACAAGAGTTGTTAGTTCTTGCTCATAATCCTGGCTGATTTTGATCTTAAGTACTCCATATTAACGATAAAAACTTTCCTATTATCATTCATTGGTGTAAAAATGTCGTAATGCGATAATTTTCAATGAATGTTATTATTACAGGAAACCGGCTAGAAACCGGCGTGAAGGACTTCTGAAACTATACTGTGCAATACCCTTTTTAAATTCCTCGAAAGATTTTTGAGGTTATCTGAAGGCAACATTTGTAGAAATATCGTAGCTTAACAGTGATTCGTAATCACGTGTTGATTGGGGCGAATGAAAGTGTGTTCCAAACTGATTCTCGTTTCCTAGGGAAAGGGAAAATACGCCACTTTCCATTGCGTAATATAAGATGTTTAGCGTAACCCCTTTCCCCCCCCCCCCCCAAAAAAAACACTTATGGCCACAAAACATTTTTTTTCCTTTTTTTTGGGGGCACCTCATATCCACAGGCGACAACCACAATATATTTATTATAAAATTCTCAAATAATCTTCTTACAGCTATAATAGAAAAAAGATGACAAACCATCTTGGGTAATTCGGCTTGATATAAAAAGCCTGAAAAAGTCCATCATGATGAAACTGCGATGACTAGGCTTGACAAAATAACGTGTTGTGGTTCATTTTTGTTCGCGGGTCAGTTTATATTTTCCCTTTTTTGTGTAGGGTCCCCAATAGGCTTTTTCAATCCCGTTATCCTGACTTAAAATGTCGCACCGAATCCCGTAACCCCGATTGTAATATTCGGCATCCCGCATCCCGTGCGTACTTTCAATTCCAAATCTCTCTCCCATTTTCCTTAAAAATTCCAAATCCCGGCCTTCTAATGAGGAAAATCTCAGGCATCTCGAAAAATTTATTGGGGACCCTTTATATGGTTATGTGTGATGACGATGATATAGAGGGGCTAAGTGGCGGTTTTCTTTGATTACGAGCTGTTAATCTTAAACCACTGGTAAGTCTTTTATTTTCAGTCAAGGAAAGTAAAAACATAGCCTGCGAAAACATCGGTTTCTGCTCTCTCCTCGCCGCTGGGGACGGTTTGCGAGGAGAAACGCCAAACGTCCTCAGCGGCGGAGAGCGTGGAGAAACGGATGTTTTTGCAGGCTAGTAAAAACACCACAACACATTCATACAAGAAGATTTCGTACAGGGCGTACAGCGTTAACGAAACCCTCCAATAAACACAATTGTAACCGTTTTAGGAATATTTCAGGAAGGCTTTTAGCGATTGGAATCAATGAATTGAACAAAAGAAATTGCAAAACAGTAATATAAACTTGAGATAAAGTTTTTCAACAAGGTGTTGAGATCTATCCTGTAACAAAAGTTGTTAGTTCTTGCTCATAATCCTGGCTGATTTTGATCTTAAGTACTCCATATTAACGATAAAAACGTTCCTATTATCATTCATTGGTGTAAAAATGTCGTAATACGATAATTTTCAATGAATGTTATTATTTCAGGAAACCGGCGTGAAGGACTTCTGAAAGTGTACTCTGCAATACCCTTTTTAAATTCCCCGAAAGATTTTTGAAGTTAGCTGAAGGCAACATTTGTAGAAATATCGTAGGTTAACATATTGATTTGTAATCACGTGTTGATTCGGGCGCATGAAAGTGTGTTCCTAACTGATTCTCGTTTCCTAGGGAAAAGGGAAAATACGCCACTTTCCATTGCGTAATATAAGATGTTTAGGGTAACCCCTTCCCCCCCCCGCCCCGCCCCCCCAAAAAACAATTCTGCTGACATAAGCATTGTTTTCGCTTTGTCTTGGGATGACCGTAATACCCAGGCGAAACTGAAAATATTACTTTTGCAAACTTTTGGTGGGTAGTTTATTATCCTGATGGGCAATGTGGAAGCAGCGGATAACAGACAACCATCTCGCCATTGACAAATTTTATATTCTGATAATATGATTTTGAAAGCTGTGATTGATTAACTGGCGCTCCCATGTACACGAATTTTCACCTTCTTGCTTTCAGACGCCTGACCAGCCCTTTGCGTGGGCTTTAAACTGCGAATTGTGCGGCTTCCGACAACAAAATTCGAAACAAATTGGAACAAAAAGCGACCTTAACCACAAAATCCGTTCGCGACTTTCTCGCGCGGGAACACGCCATCCGCGCGGAAACGCGTCATTGCGTGGTTCCCTGCTCTTCACGTTATTGAGACGCCCGGCTGAGACGTGATCTGGACTTATTAACTCACCCTTCCTTTTAGAAATGATTGCTTCACCGTGCGCTGCGGACTGATTGTTTGTGTCTTTTTAACTGGTTTTATGGGTTTTCTCTCTTCAGTAGCCTGATGTAAAAATTCCTAAACTTTCCGGCCCCAGAATAACAAACGGAAACGATAACTTTTCTCTCGCAGCTTCAAAGGAAAAGCGCTTTTATATTAATGACAAGCGTTTAATTCCGGATGTTGTATCATTTATTCTTACAGCAGGGAGTTTTCCTCACGAAAGATAACATTTGATTACTGACATTGAGACGTGTTTAAAATTTTCCTGTAGCAAAAAAAGTCAGAACCTTTCAGAATGGTTTACCACCCGTTAGAAGAAATGTTAAACCAATAGTTGACTCTTAAAGTAATTTATATTAATCGCAATTAGTATGGATGTTTAACTTGAAAAATGAAACAGGAATGTTCTAGAGCTTCAGTTTTTCCTCTTTTCTACCTGGCTTTTAATCAACACCTCTAAAGATAAATGGGTGGACATCATTGTTGTTAGTAATGCTAAAAGATTTGAAGCTGCAGTTGTGTTGCACTTTTTGGGAAAAGTACATAGATAAAATCATTTGATTGTGTCACGAAAATCATTTCTTGTTTTAAATTGTGATGAAATGAAATAACGAGTTTTTAACCTATTTTACTTTGCCACTCCTTTGAATGTTTTTCAGTAAACCGAACTTGTGTGAAATTTTCAGATTGTAAAAATTATTGAGTAGTTTTAATGAGTAAGCTAATCTGCCTTATGGTTGAGATGCGCACTTTTGTAGGTGAGAATAAGATTAGCATTTTTAATCTGGGTCCGTGAATATGTCGGAAAGGAAATCACAGGGTGCCAAACACACCAAGAAACTTTCTTTTTTAAGACGGACATTTTCCCTAGAAAGGACGCCTTGAGTTGTTCCATGTTAGCCTGCGAGTGATTTCTCCATTTCCAAGCGATTCGCGGGAAAACGCGCCAGTGAGCGGCAAAGCTCACGATATCCCCATATCAAGAATTTGTTTGCAGGCTAGGTCCTTGTCTTCAGTCTATCTCTTTCATTCGCCATAAGAAGAACTCTTTCTGCCGGTTTTAACGGATTCCGTCTTGATTCGTTTTTAGAGATATCTTGTAAAAAAAAACAGCTGGCTGAACACTCAGTTAAATAAATCAAAGAAGAAAATAAAGTTGTGAGTAATGCAAGTGCTTAATTGTGGCTCATCTATAATTTGGCAAGGAAGTTCTAAAGCTGTAACTTTGATTTAAAGGGAGTCCATTCAAAACTTGTGAGGCATTGTATCATTGTATGGCTATGATGCCTGTCCTTCCTTTAGTTTTATTCGGCGTTTTACAAAATGAGATTTTGAATCTGTATTTGTCATTTATCATATCGCTATGTCATGTTAGGGTACGCCTATTTATATTGGTTCCTCTTGCGTATCGATCTCTTTTTCTTTTTTATTAAATTGTTTGTTTTTATAGGAATCTCATCAGGGCTTCACAATTGTTGTGGGTTTTTGTCGTACTTTATTAACATTTGCGCCCACGTCTGTTAGTTCAGTGTTCAATTTTTTTTTGTTGAGTCAGTTTTAAAAGTATCGGTGTATCCGAGGAAGGCATTTCCTCTTATTTTCTCATAAAATACGAGATGTACGTTTTCACTCTGCCATTTACTAATTCTGGAAGTAAGCTACAGTTTTTAGTTCCCTATGGCTGTTGTGGTTTCTTTGATATAAAGAGATTCAATGTTTGGAAATTTAATTAAGAAGGAATGAGCTGTAAAACAATTACACAAAACAGCTTTTTAGCCGCCTGCTGAGAACGAATGAATTGCTGTGTCATGGTGGGTAGGTCTTGCATGTCCAGCCTAAATGTGTCTAGTTCATCTATGTTCAGTTGAGGTGTGTTATAATATAATTGGCATTTTTCAACCCTGTTACGCTCAATAAAACTATCTTTGACGTAAGAAAATTAAGTCCAATAGGATCGTGTGCGTGTGAAGAACCGTCTATTAGAACAGTAGCTCAATAGCTTTCATTTAATTTATAGTTCTTTTCATGATTAAATTTAGATTCGCAACAATGAAACCACTTTACTCAGTGATTAAGCTTTAACTGCGAAAGAAGAAGAAAACTAGAAAGGATTTGTGTGTTCTATTCATTGCACGATAATTAGTTTGTTTATCTTTCCTTGCGAAGAGACCTTTCCCTTTCTGTCCACCAGAAAAACGTTTGAACCATACAATGCTTGGTTCAGTTCAGTTATTGCATTTCGTTTTCTTTTTACGCTCTGGTTTATCACGCAGAGATGCGCCTGAGGCTGTTGACGACAGTCAGCTCCACTAAACAAATATTGAAATAAAATACTTTGTACTATATTGTCGCAATCACAGGGTATCTTGAGACGTTAAACTGTGTTAAACAAAATGGTTTCATTGACAAGATATAGCTGGGGAAAAACCAATATAGGGTTGGGAGCCTGAGATCTGTAAAAGGCCAAAAAGACGCCGCTGAACTGCAGGAAATAGAGAGATTAAGATTTACGTTTACACCAAACGGCAGACGTGAATTTTTACCACGTGACCAAGTTTCCCCCTTATTTTCCTTTTACTCTTTATTGCTTCCATGCAAAAATAATTATGCCAGTTTTAACCATAGGAATCGTTCGGGACTGTTTTTATCTGCTTATTTTCTTTTCTGAGAAATTCTCAACTTGAGTCTGACGTTTGCCGTTTGCGGTAAAAGTGAATCTTAAGAGAGATTAAGATTCACGTTTACGCTAAACGGCAAACGTGAATTTGTACCACGTGACCAAGTTTTTCCCTGAGTTGTCGTTAACTGTTTATTACTTCAACTAAAAAATAAGCAGTTTCACGCCAGTTTTATACATAAGAATTGTTCTGGGGAGTTTTTATCTGCTTATTTTCTATTCTGAGAAATTCTCAATTTGAATCTGACGTTTGCCGTTTGGCGTAAACTTGAATCTTAATCCCTCTATTATCTCTCTACTAACATATTTTTTAGGTCGTCAACACAAATGAAAAAAATTGAAAGAAATTTACTTTCAAAAGTGCTATTAATCCTTTTCTGTCAGCGAAGATTTAGCAAATAACAGCCGCATGTTAGTAGTAGATGATGTGGGGTTGGGACGGGAGTAGGAAGGAGGTGCAAACTTCTCATGTCCTCCAGTCGATTCGCGCCAAATTTGGGATCAGTGGGATTCCTGTGGCAACGGGGAAAACGTACTACCAAGTTTTTGTCTTAAAAAAAGACTCCGTAAAAACCAGTAAATTTGGAGAATTAAAAACACGTTAGAAGTCGACGCTGAAGGGTTGCAAGTACGTTGTTGTGTTTATTTGTTCTTGTAGATGTGCTTACATTTTATTTCTTTTCATTTTCCAGGTTATTATAAGCAAAATGGATAAGACTTGTAAGTGCCATGGCGTATCTGGCTCTTGCACTGTCAAAGTTTGCTGGAGAACTATGCCCAAGATGAAAGCAATTGCCACCGAACTTCGACGGAAATACGAACACGCCATAAAAGTCAAGCTTAACAGGAACAAAACCAAGCTCACGAGGCTCTCTCGCGGGCGAAGAGGGCGAAAGTCGAATAAACGAAACTCGAACCGACGACCTTCATCGTCAAGTCTTGTATACGCCGAGGACTCTCCGGACTTTTGCAAACCGGACTCTAGATATGGAATTCTTGGAACGCACGGGCGGAGCTGCAACAAAACATCGACTGGTACTGCAGGTTGTAGTCAAATGTGTTGTGGTCGGGGATACAACACTGTCAATAGATTGGATGACGTCAAATGTAACTGTCAGTTTATTTGGTGCTGTCATGTAAAATGTGATTGGTGCAAAAAGGAATGGGTCCAGCATACTTGCAAAGGAGACTGAAAGACACCATCGTAGAATTAATCCAGAATAAATTATCACACCACGTTCTACTTCAAGGTGACAATCACGCAGATTTGAAAGTATTTAATTTCTAGGGTTGATTTTGTACTTCGTTGGCTGTGTTGGACACGCCACTAGATGGGACAATTGGTGATGTTTACAAGCAGTAACTTATGATGTACTGTCGCTTATGTTGAGACCCGAGAATCCTGTTTTACTGTTCATTCCTTTGAGGCATCAGATCTGGTGTAATTGGGTACTAGAAAATTGAGTGCTTTTCTCTAGTTGTAGAAACAGTAGTCTGATTGGCCTTCCTCCCCTCCCCTTCAAGTATTAACGCCCCTCTTACACCCCTTCCACCCGAACTTTCTTTTACTTAAGTTAAATTCCAAGGGGGGGAAGGATGGAGTGACGAGAAAACGATGTACGTTAGATTATAGAGACAGTGACTCCACAGCCGTGAAGTGGTTAGCTTAGCTGAACAATGTATATATTTATTGCAACAGTTGAAAACAAGGAAAACAACAGTAAGTGAATGGTGCACTTTCCCAGCAATGACACTAAAACCATATTTATGGAATTTTCGTACCTTGCTTGTGGACCGTTTATTCTCTTTATCAGAATATGTTGACTTTTTCCTTTCCTATCCCTTAAGCTTAGGCTTAAGAAGAAATTATTCGAATATCAAGAGTCTTGCAAGTTCATTTTCTTAATTCTTATAACCTTTTGAATTATCAAAGAAGTGATATTACAAGAAGAAATTAGACGCTTATGAGGACTTAGATGTAAGCTACAGACAGGCGCCAGTTCGTAAAGAACAGAAACGCTCAATTGAATTCGTCCAAGAGACAGGGAAATTTCTTTACTTAAATGCCTGGCTAAACTGCAAAATGTTGTTGCAGAAATAGTGTTTCTTCTAATCTGACTAAACTCTAAAAAAAAAAAAAAACTTGCGTCCAGGAAGCAAAATTTGTATCTTCAGCATTTGTTTCTCGCTCTACTAAATTTAGAAACTTTGGAGCAGCGTCTCCTAGTTTTGCCAGGCCTTAAGGCTCGTTGATTATTTGTTTCTGTTCCATGACAAGAAATCTCTGGCTTGGCCTCTCACTTTGAGCGTCACTAGAGTTTAAGCTTCATGTATACGGCAAACTGACGTCAGATTCAAGTTGAGAATTTCTCAAAATAGAAAATGAGCAGATAAAAACAGCTCAAAGCAATTCTTATAAAAAATTGCGTGAAACTACTAATTTAGGGGTAGAAATAATGAGCAGTAAACGACAAGTAAAGAGGAAACTTGGTCACGAGGTGCAAATTCGCGTTTGCCGTATGACGTAAACGTGATGCTTAACCTCTCTATTGAAAGGGCCTTGACTCGGGTGTCTGGGTGTGTATAAAATTTCGCGCTTTGTGGTAGTTCTCCATTTGAGACATGATAAGGAAAGTGGACCGAGTTAACTTTCGCAAAGATGTCTGGGATTGTTATTAGGGACAAGTAAAAAAAATTAGCCAATAGCTGACCGGTGCGTCCCAGTGCCGATCCCAGAAACCACTGCGAGACGCATTTCGGCTTCAATTCCCTTCTCGTTGCTTATGTGGCGAGTTGCAACTAGAACAAAGCAAATAACTGTTTATTATATATTTTTATGCATACAGAATCTTCCTTATTTATAAAGAATTGACACCTTAGTTAGAGGAGCAGTGTTTGAACACTTTGTATTGTAAACACGACTTGTTCGAGTTCATGAAAAGTCAAGAAATTGGGAAAACCGACTGTGTCTCGTTGCCTCGTTGTTTGTTGATTTTTAATGTGAAAGAACGATTCTAAAAGACTGGGAAATCAAAGAGAGGGAAATAAATACAGTTCCGCTGACAGTCGCAAAATGTTTCACGAAAAGGCTCAACGAGAACGGTCAGGCGGCCACAGTGAAAATGTTAGGAAGGTAAAACTATTTATTGCTTCAAAACCCTGCTGCAGCAGCTTATATATATATTTAACCGATGTGTGGTTCGTTTTCTCAACAGTGGTCTATTTCCAAACATCTTAGACCTTCCTTTTCTTTTCAGTAAGTACATTTACCGGCATTGAGTTTTAACAATAAAGGAAAGATTATAATTATTTAAACACACTGGTCACAAAACCGTGGGATGATCTGAACATGAGAAGTGATAACAAACGTGAAAAACCGCCCATCAGAAAGAAGCATACCGTAAAATTCCGAAAATAAGCCCCTCCATGAATAAGCCCCTCCAAATATAAGCCCCCCCCCCCCCCCCCGGGGG